ATATGAGATTTTAAAGGTACTATGTCCCTTTTGCAGCCAACCTCAAATGCTGTAGAACTTTGCAGGAATTATTGTCATGTATGTCCTATCTGTGAAATTTAAACGTTAGCAGTGTCCTCATATTCAAATTATGCAAGGAAACCCGTTTACTTGCTAGACTTCACTGTCAGACACTATTGAGTGACTGACTGGCTTATTTTCTTCGGTAATAACATACATGAAAAGAGTTGTAAAGGGTACATGAGCATTTGTCTACATCAATAACCCACTTCTTGTGATGGCCAAGATTAAACTGATTAAATCTTTGCGCAGCATAAAACGTATGACCATTCGGTACAATTGTCTGAAAATCAAGACTATTACTTTTGGGCTCTATAGCCCTAAAGTCGATTTGACAACTGATAATCGTTATTTTCCCACTTGAAGACATTTTCAAGCCCCACCTTTTCTAGGGAAGTTCTAAATTAGTATTATCTTTCAAATGCAGTTGGAATTTAACTTTTTCATTCTTTTGGCCTGCAAATAGGACATAGTACCTTTAAGTAACGTTTATTTCCAATAATCCATTATACAAATCATTTACTTTCATAATGAACTTATTACTAAATGTAGCTAGCAGACACTTGCTTATTTTGGACAATTGGGTTTCTGAGTTTCTGTCTTTCTGACACTGCTATTAATATTTCTGAAATCTGAAATAAGCCATATGGGATTTGTACATTATTTTCGTGTGAATATGAATGAAGAAAAAGGGTTGTTTCTATTAGTAATAAGTTGGAAGTATTGAGTAATTTACAAAGAAAGCGCTTGCTTTTATTGTCCAGGATCACCCTTTGTTTATATAGCACAGTCATGTATATGATATTCCTGTGGGGCCATATCTCACAAGCTTGCTTTTACTACATTACTTCAAATATATTGTTGCCTTTAATGCAAAGGTGAAGGTCGGGAGTGAGCTTCTAGGCTTTCCGTTTATTCTTGGTGCTATTTATCTCCCATGTGAGGGATCCATTCATTATTCTCATGAAGTGTTCGATGATTTATGTAATGACATCGTTGATATTAAAAGTAAACACAATGCACCATTTTGTTTATTAGGGGACTTTAATGCCAGAACAGGGATGCTTGATGATTTTTTGGATGTAGATGATTTTGTGGACCAGTCCAGCCTAGGAGCTTGTGATGGTGACTTGGACATGTATGATACAGATATTTTTAATTCTCGTTCTAATAATGATACAGTTGTTAATAATAATGGCAAGAAAGTTATTGAGATGTGCCAAAGTTTTGATATAAGAATTGTGAATGGTAGAGCAGGTAGTGATCACACTATTTGGAAAGTATACCTGTTTTAATAAGAATGGTGGCCGTAGCACTGTTGATTATGCTATTATGTCAAAACGATTATTTCCATTAGTAAAAGATTTTGATGTTGATATTTTTGATAGATGTTTGTCTGATGTACATTGCCCTATTATGCTGACCTTGCAATCTGAAGATATTTTGAACAGTGATTCATTGAGAAATGAAAGTAGGGAAGCACGCACAGGGCCAGACAAGTCAAATTATCTCGCCTTTCAATGGAATAGTAATAGTATGTCAGACTTTAAGCAGCATACTAAAGATTATAGCGAGGTAATGCATAAATTTGTAGATCAACTTGAAACTGATGTTAATCAAGAAGGTATGGATATTTTTTATTCACATTTGTGCGATATGTTTTTGAGTACGGCAAAGGAAGTTGGAGTGTGTAAATTAAAGCATCATAAAAAAGATGGAAGTAAATCAGGTAACAGTCAGAGTAAGCAAAGTCAACAGCCATGGTTTGATACTGAATGTAGAGATGCTCGGAAGGAATATTTGAATGTTAAAAATAGATGGAAGAGGAAAGTAAAATTGATGAGGAACTCTGATGTTCCTGTTGATTCAAGTAATTATGATGATGCAGGGAAATCTTATAGGAATTTGTTACGTTGTAAAAAGAGGTTATATTTTCAGGACTTGAATAAATCATTACGTTCATTGCGGACAAAAAATCCTAAGGAATATTGGCAGCTACTGAATGGTAAGAATGAACGTAAGGAGAAAGATATTGGAAATGTTTCATTAAAGGATTTTTTAAATCATTTTAGTCGTCTAAGTTATAAGGAGGTTGATGAGCCAGAACCCCCAATTGTTATGCAAGAGTTATCTCAGGAAAATGTTTGTCTCGATGTTCCGATTACTTTGAAGGAAGTTGACATGATGATTAAGAAGCTTAAAAATACTAAAGCTTGTGGAAGGGACTCTATTAGAAATGAGTTCCTTAAAAGTTGCCCCCTGGAGATTCTTCAGGTTGTAGTTAAGTTCTTTAATGTTGTATTGGATTCTGGTATTGTTCCGACAGAATGGTGTATTGGGATAATTATTCCTATATTTAAGAATAAGGGAGAGAATACAAACCCTGATAATTATAGAGGCATTACTTTATTGAGTTGCTTAGGTAAGCTGTTTACATCAATTTTGAACTATAGGATCACTCAGTTTGTTGAGGATGACAGTTTGTTAGGGGAAGAGCAAGCTGGCTTCCGGTCCAACTATTCAATCACAGATAATGTATATGTTTAAAAGTCTATTATTGATGTTTATTTAAAGAATTCTAAACGCCTTTATTGTGCATTCATTGACTATAAGAAAGCCTTTGATTTGGTTGACCGTGCAGCATTGTGGGTTAAAATGTTTAGAATGGGAGTAAAAGGCAAGATTTTTAATGTTATAAGGAACATGTACAGGTGTGCTAAATCATGTGTTGCTAACGAGGGAGATATGTCCAGTTTATTTACATGCAATATTGGAGTGCGTCAAGGTGAAAACCTCTCACCTCTCTTGTTTGCTATTTATTTGAACGATTTCCAACAATCTATAGGAAACTCGTACAAGGGCTTGGAATTTTTGAATACTATTATTAAAAATAAATTGCCTTTTGATGGTATTGAAATATATAAGGAGTTATTTTCTTTGTTATATGCTGATGACACAATTATTCTAGCAGAAACTCCTAAAGAGTTGCAAAAAGCCCTAAACGCAGTGAAAGATTATTGTGATACTTGGCACTTAACTGTTAATGCCAGCAAAACAAAAATTGTTGTTTTTTCACGTGGGAAAGTTAGAAGAATTCCAGAATTTGATTATGATGGTGGTGTACTGGAAGTTGTTTATGACTTTGTATATTTAGGAGTGACGTTTAATTATAATGGTAACTTTAAAAAAGCAATTGCTAAACAGGTTACACAAGCTCGAAAGGCAATGTATAGTATGTTAGTAAACGCAAAAAGGTTGCATTTATCTGTTGATACACAATGTCATTTATTTGATCACTTAGTTTTGCCAATTCTATTATATGGTGCTGAGGTCTGGGGCTATGAGTGTATAGATCAACTTGAAGTTTTCCAAAGAAAATTTTTAAGAACGATATTGTTTATAAATAAGTGCACACCTGACTGCATGGTTTATGGTGAAACTGGACGTGGTAAAATACTCGATAAAATTAAGTGTAGGATGATTGGATATTGGGTTAGATTAGTTAAAGGGAAGCAATCAAAGTATTCATTAATTCTTTTTAAGTTTCTGTTGCAGTTGCAAAGTGAAGGACAAAATTTAGTTAATATAAAGTCACAATGGGTCGAGTTTCTTGCAGACAGTTTTGACTATGCAGGACTTGGGAACGTCTGGCGAGCTCAAGGAGAAGGATATAGTGCTGCCTGGATTATGAATACTATGAAAACCAGGCTTTCTGACATGTCTATTCAGGAATGGAGCGCAGCTACCTGGTCAAATCGTATTTGCACGAACTAGGATGTTTAAGAATGAGTTGGTTTATGAAAAATACCTGCAGATATTATGTCAGAAGGAAGCAATAACTTTAAGTAAATTTAGATGCAGAACACATAGATTACCAGTTAATAAAGGTAGATTTGATGCAAATGTAGTAGATGATTTGCAATGCCCACTCTGTACACCAACAGATATTGGTGATGAATTTCATTATATTTTTGTATGTCCATTCTTTCAAAATGAAAGAAAAATGTATATACCAAATAACTTGTGTGGTAGTAGCTTAAGACCAAGTGCGTTGCACATGGATAAGTTTTTTAATACAGCTCACGCTTGCCAGCTAAAGAAATTAGCAAAATTTGTTAGAATCATTATGTCATATTTTTCAAAAGATTCAAGGGTAGATGGTAATACTGCACATGATAGCTCACAAATACATGTAAGCAATGTTGTTAGGCACACTCGTAGCGGTAGGAGGGTGAATTGCCCAGTTCGCCTTGATTTGTAAATATGTTTATTTGTTCATATTATCACATGTTTATCATTGTTCATATTATCACATGTTTATTATTGTTCATATTATCACATGTTTATCATTGTTCATATTATCACATGTTTGTCTTTGTTTATACTATCTTATCATGTTTATCAATTTTCATGTTATCACCTGTTTATCATTGTTATACTATTGTTATATTGATACTATATTGTAAATATGTTTGTACTCTCATACCCCGAGAGGGGGTCGATAGAGTCAATAAAATCTTACAATCTTACAATGCATTTATAATTTTGTTTGATTTGATTTGATTTATTGGTTTCTGCATCTTTTTTCTTATTTTTTCATCATACATTTTCATGAACATAACATGGCTTGAAAAGTTGATACAATATTTCAAGTGTATATAATTTTATACAGATAATAAACGATATTAAACAAATATATTGAATGCATAATTAATATACATTAGATGCATTAGATGCATTAAAACGAATATTATCTGTTGTTATTAGGATTTCATGGTTAGTTTGATATAGATCTACCTCTTGGTGTTACTTCAAATGTTGTTACTGATATCATTATTTGAAGAAAGTCAAATAACATAAACTTGCAACAATACGTCATTTAAACGAGATTATGCAACATTTTATTTTTCCTTTTTGATTGGACTTTTTGTGCCGACGCACTTCAGACGATATATTTGGAAGCCTAGCCACTGTGTAAGTGCAGCATGCAGAGACCTGTGAACCGTATGTTCATTATTTATTGTTTTACATTTAAATTATATTAATGAATACATATTGATATGAGAGAGAACGAGAGAAAGTGTCTGATAATAAAGAGAATGTGTATTTCTTGTTAACATTAACGAAATAAAGATAATTGTCGTATACTTACGAAGTGTTAACTTTACAACGGTCCCACGTGCTTATCTGTGCGTAGAGTCGTTGTTAATGTTGGTAATTGTTTTATGGCGTTCATTCAGTAGACTACTGAATATCATAATATTTAATTACAAACCAGAGCAAAATGATAGTGACTTCCTATTGAAATCTATTTATTCGGATGGCTATATCTCAGATAGTTCTTAGCATAATCAATGCCTGTTTTTCAACATTTCATTTGGACAATTTTTTTGATGCTCTTTCAGAAAATGTTCAAATTTGGGAATTCTAAAAATACATTTGTATAAAAATATAATGTCTTCGGTACTCTATAGGTAGATCTAGAGCATTTTGGATTTGGTTTGTGTTGTTTTTTTTATCTTGATCATCCTAACATTTGCATGCTTGCAGCTTCAGCATAGCTCACTTATTGTTCTATTTTCAATTCTGATTCTCTGTCTTTTGGCTTCTTAACATCCAAAATACGCAGAATGTTTGCCTCCACAATTCTCGCTACCCCAAATAGCGATTCTGCCGAGATCCGGGGAAAATCCTGAAAATGCGCATTGCATTATGGGATAGCTTTTCGACATTACAGCTTCCTGTGCAGGCGCTATTTTACTAGGCGCGATAGCGCAAAAGTAAAACGCCGTCGCCACACAACGTGTATGCACCGAATATGTCGTCTGCTCGTCTTGTTTTTTTTTTCGCAAATATTTCAACGTTTATTTGAACATTTCATTCGTTGTTTTTTGCGTCTTTTGACATCAGTGACGATGGTTTTCTTTTGTGAGGCTGCACAGTGCTGGGCTCATGATTCCAAGCGTAAGAACCCTGAAAAATGGGGGTGGATGAAGGCCGTGACTTGGGTGAAATTTCCCACCGAAGCTGGAACACGAGCGACATGGCTGCGCTTGATTCGCCGCAAGGACAAAGTGAATTTGACCAAAAAATCGCGGCTTTGTTCGAGACATTTCGATAAGGAGCAGATTGATCCAGATGGTTATGCCAAAGGCTATCCCAAATACTTTTTCTGGAATAATTTTGGTCTCGTTGGAGAAGAACGTCCCACCACAGCTATTGACAAGATGGACGGAAAGTTCGTGATCACAACCCTCTCTTTCACGGTAGAGTTTAACGGCCTTTTGTGCTAAAGTCACTAATTCTGCCCGAAGCTTTCCATTGCATGGTATTCCTCTGTCCGTTAAGATTTTTTTAAGTTCCGAAACTGTTTTTTTATCCACTTTGTGGTCGACGAGAAATACATGAACTGAGTGTTGTCTCTACACTGTTTAGTGTATCGTCTGCTCGTGATTGTGACGCTGGTCGCTACATGCACAATTTTAAGACAATTATTTTTTTTTACTTTTAGATTAACAGAAAAAAAACATGAATAAAAATAAAATCTTTCCTGTAAACTATTTTTTGCTTTTTATTGTATATTCAAATTGAATAAAAACAAACTAAATTTAATGCATATATTATAATCTGTACAAATTACACTGATTGGCATCGATTTTAGCGTGCGTGAAAACTCTGCACAGCGAACACAGGCGCTAGCGCCAGCGGGATGGGACTCTATACCGGAAGTTGTTGTGACGACCCGAGAGAGTGAAAATTACCTCGTCTCGCGAATTTCGAGATTTTCGTACCTATTTAGGGTAGCGAGAATTAGCACATTTTGGTGTTTCTTTGTGGCCTGTGGGAATATTGGTCAAAGAAATGCATCTCCCCACAGCGAACACATTTGGGTTTGGATTTACACTGCTATTAGAGACTTTGGTGGTAAGCGCTTGATAAGCATGTTTTGTTTATTCCGTGGCCGAAACTTTGGCATTTAAAACACCTGAGTGTGGATGGAATAAAATGTCTAACCGTAAATAAAATAGTTTGTAACACATGGTTATTCAGAGGGAAGATTGCTGCAGTCAAATGATAGGATGATATTTCTACTTTTTCTAGTTGGAATTTGTCCTTTCATTTTGTCCACTCTTTCTTGAGAACCATTTTCCTTTTTGCCATTTCTTCTATTCATCATACTTTTAATATCCACAACTTTCTGTTTAGTCAGTTTGTTTTGAATTTCTTGTTCTGTCATTTTGATAGGTACTCCATAGAGTACTCGTTTCATCCAAGTTCTCATCTTTTCCACCTTCACTGGGATTTTGTTCACATTTCTCATTTGTTTAGTCATTTTACACCTGATCAGGATTCCATTTCTAACATGCTCGACAAATTTCACTGGATTGTTGCCCACCTTTGAACGCATGGCTTTAGCTATCACGAGAAGATTCACTTTTTTACAGATTTTTAATTTTTTAATTTGTATTCTATTGGAACTATGGAGCATTTCAAGTCAGATGGTTTTGGCAGGGTTCCAAAAGTATGGTTTACTTTATTTGAATCAGATATGCTGTGTATTTTAAGGGTTTCCACTTCTCTTCGTTCTTTTCTTCGTCTTTTCGCTCCCATGTTTTTTCCCTTAATTGATAGTCATAAAACAATTTATTTATTTTATTATTAATTTATTTCGTTTTATTTCAACAGGGTAGCCACATCAGTAGTTGAAATACTGTTATACTTGGTGGCCCTGCATAACATTAAGATACTTATAAAGACATACATATACATGAAAACATCATTACATGGTGAAAAGTAAACATGATATACCAGACTAAATTTCAAATTTAAATGTAAACTAAACAAATCCACCCAAAAATCAAGTCATCAAGAAAATCGTACGTCAACAAATTTTGAAAACAAATCCTTATATTTTAGTGACAGTGGCCCGTATTCTGAAGTCAGGTCTAACTTTAAACCTAGGTTTAAGTCTAGTCTAAGCCTCGCCTAACTCTCAGATTTAAACCTAGGTTTAATTTTGCGTTTCTGAAGTCGGGTTTAACTTAAACCTGGGTTTAACTAAACCTGACTTCAGAATAAGGGCCAGTGTGTCTAAACATATGTATACATTCTTTGCAGTTTGTAGGATAATTGTGATCAATACAGTAATCTGTAATTGGTAAGTACTAAATATTCAAGTTTGTATGTTTCGTAACTCTGCTCCGGAGCAGAGCCCATCATGGTTGAATGAAGTGACGTGGAGCCACTTCAAAATGGCGGGAATTAAAAAAAGACTTGACAGGTCTTTTTACAGTGTTAGTATACAAAATTCGCCCACTAATGTTTGCTTACCTCTGTGATTCCTTATTCCGATGCCAATATTCTCTAGATATTCCAAACAACATATGATATAAAGGAGATTTGCTATTGTAAAATCCCAATACTTCCTGTATCAGATTTACGTCCATGCCTAATCGCGGGCTCACCCTTCTATCAGGACCCATTAACTTCTCATTCCATACAATACAGTGGGGGGGGGGGGGGGGGGGGGTGTTCGAACTTCTACGTTAATGTATAATCGTAAACAGTATCGACCTTCTAACCGATTTAAGTACACATTTTTCACAAACATCATGCACATGTACAAAACAAATGGGAGAAAATTCGAAATTATTTTTGAAAGAGAGTAGTCTACAGTTGTGGATATTCGGCTGGGAGTGGTTTTCGACCGGTCCACCGTAGTCCCCGGCCATAAGCATCAATTGCAAAATCATCATCATCATCTTATTTTGAATGCAGATTGGCGTCATCGTCCGACATGAAACCCTTTTGCATCAAGAGCAAAACATGCAGTTTGGTGCTTGGTACATTTTAAGTCTGAACTTATTCAATATGATTTGATATTGGTACAACATAAATTTCTCTACACATGCCAGCCAAATTTGGCTAGCATTCAATGGGCAATGGGTTAGCATCTGTGTTGCTTTTAGCAGCTTTTTCCCCCTTTTTTTTTATTTGGAATATTATTCATCTTCACTAATTCAATTTCATTTTTACTGCAGGGAGTGTTACCTGAATTTAAAAACAGCACTGGTTGACGGAGCTGTCCATCATGCCTGGAGACAGTAAGGCCCAGCTACCGGCCAACCTAACCGAGCAGATCGATGCCTTCATTGCTGATCTGAAACAAGGGTAAGATAATCATACACACAGGATAAAAATAATGATAATTAAAATAGTGGAGTCTCGTGTAGCACCCATGTCTTGCACATGCCACTCCTGGTGCTCCATTATTCTCATCACGAGCATTTTTAAGGAATTAATTCCTGCTGGGTAGTATGTGTACCCATTTACCAGACCTGGGTGGACTGTTGCAAAAAAAGATGAATGTCTTGCCAAAGGATATTAGTAGTGTGACAGTGATTTGAACCCGTTGCTTGTGGTTTACAGTCTGGAGGCTTATCCACAGGACCACAAAACCTCTTCTTCCCTATGGAGCCAAACCTTGACAATAGAAGAAAGATGTTCAGATTGGTTCAATGGCACCTATACAAGACTCCTAATTAAAGTACCAGTACAAAATATATCTTGACAAGAACATGACTTAATTTCAATCACCAATGCTTAACTATGGATAACATATTTTAGAAGTCCTTTATAGAGAGAAAAATCCACCAAAGAAATACATTCTGAAAATATTGACATTTTAGTCATTTTGTGTATTGGAATAAAATCTGGCACTACATCACAGAGACATTACAGATCGCGATTACAACGTTACAATTGATAAAACTTTTTTCCTTTTTTTTGCCCAATTTTGTTCAAGTTTCTTTTCTTTCTTTTGTTTCGAGTAGTTTGCTATTAAGTTGATATTTTACTTTAAAGCCCATCCATACTAGTTTAGAGGAGGGATTAGACCACCGTGCAAGGTCACTGTCAGTTGGTTATCTCATCAAATCAGCTCTCACTTAACATAAGAAAAAGAGGATCATGGGGGACAAACGGTCGCCGATTAGGCATTGTTTGCTATATAGAGGGCACAAGTAGCTGTAAGTAGTGCAGTGGGGCTTTAATGAGTAATCTTTCTATCCTGGACCTATGCAGGAGTGTGAAGGGGTCCTACGATGTAGCTCACAGCACCCTGTCCCTGATCAGAAAGATCATATCAGGTAGCCGCTGGGCCCATGCCGGGGAGCTGATGGGACTGATCAGGCAGGAGGGCAAGAGGATTATGACGGCTCAGCCGGCAGAGTCCTCGGTCGGTAACATGGTCAGGAGGGTCCTCAAGATCATCAGGGAAGAGTATGCAAGGTGGGTCTGAGTACAAGTAATCCAGGGGGGGAACTTATCTCTAAGATGGACTTAAACATTATGGAGAGCCATTTGTAGCCTCAAAAATGAAATATATTCAAAAGCAAAAATTTGGGTATGTTAGACTTTTCAGGAATTCCACATCAAGAACGCAAAATCATCTTGATAATAGAAAATATGAATGATTTTGAATCAACATTTTATGCCTTTTAAAATAACTTTTAAAAAATATTTTCACAGACACTATAAACAGCTTTCCACCCCCCCCCCCCCCCCCCATGTCTGCAAAACTGGGGGAAAGGAAATGCGAATAAGGCTTGTCAAGTTCATAATCTGTTCATTATTGTGACTGATCTGAGTGCAGTGCATATCACTGATGTACTTCTAAGTAAAGAGATGATTGCTACTACAAAAATGAAGAATAGCAGTGAATACAGACATACTAAAGTTTTATACGGCTGGCTTTACTACTATATTTTTCTGATTCCTGGGCGCCATCTTATAGATAGTTGATATCAATCGCAATGTTGTACATAAGGAATAGGAGACTACAAAATTGCGATTGATAATAGGCCTTGTTATTGATTTGGATCAATCACAACTCTTTATAAGACGAGGCCCTGGAACCAATCACAACCGTTCTTTTCTTTTGCGCTTTGTTTCCTGCTGCTTCCATTTGTATTGTCTGATTTTGTTCATTCTCGCGATTTACTTTGATTGATGAGTACAAGACGAAAAGCTTGACTATGTCTGTATTCATTGCTTTTAAGTGTGAATTATATGTTTTATCAAACAGGTATACAATATGAATAGAAACTAATATTAATCCATCAAGTAACCTACATCCAGGAACCCTTGCAAATTGTTAATGACTGCATTTTTGCAGCAAGAAACTCACATGAATCCCAAATATGTTATGTCACGATTAAATCTGATTTTGTATTCAAAACTTTCCCAGTTATCGACATTTAGTGTCATGCACATGAATTTAATGGTTTTTTTATTCTTCTTCACAGAACAAATTATAGCAACCTTAACTTTGGAAGGTTTTATTGCCAAAGGAATCCTATGAAAAAATTGACTTTTACTGTGTTTAGTATAGGAAATCAGGGAATAATTTTCCTGGTATCGCATCGCAATTTGCTATGCATTTTTGCATGACTGCTATACAAAATATCTTTTGTGTAGCAGTTTTCTTCCATAGAAATGTACAGAATTTCATTTGAAATATTTATCCATCGCCTGAAATTGCTAATCAAAAAATTTGAGGAAAATTATTCCCTGGAAATATGAAGAAGATAATGGAATCATAAACTACTTTGTTTATGTATTTTTCTGCAGTATTATCAAGGGCCAGGGTGTTGATTCATCCGGCGATCCACAAGAGTCCCTTCATGTAAGTAGAAGGATGTTATATATCTAGTATAGGAACTGTAATGTCACAAGGAAAAACATGATGCGATTGTATTTGATCTCTTGAATGCAAACATTTAAACAGTGTTCGCTTGGAATAAAATGTATATTTGGTGGGAAGAGGACAAACTATAGCAATGGGTGCAGTGCATGTGATCCATAGTGCTCTCACTTAAAAGTAGACTTTGTTGAAAAAGTTGTTTAGCACTAGACTAATCTGCTGCAAGGTCTATAAAATGGACGAGAAGAATCAGAAAATAAGCATGTCTGCTACTTATGACAACATACCGGTACAATATGCCCTGAAGATATTTAGATATTCTTAGTTCAGGTCAACTTCAAAACAATGCTCATTTGAATAGTTACCAAAATCAGCATTTTATTCTCTCAACAGAAAAAGCTGCTTGCTGAAGGCCAGGTGGAGGATTTCAGTAAACCATGTATGAATTTGAAGGTAAGTACATAGTATATTTGATGTCCAAGTGATCAATGGATATCCTATGTTTTGTATAAGTTTTGATCAGGTTAGGTAATGAATTCTGCATCCTAAACCTTCAAATATTCTCAGAATTATGAGAAAAATAGAATTGGTTGGAGTGGTACCATTTTCTTATGGGGCAACCCTGCCAAAAAAAGTAGTTGTGCCAGTCACTCAAAGTCCATCTATAACGATTGTTCAAAGACTTGGTGCCAAAGAAAGGTTTCAGTGAGCTGTTGTACATGGTTGGGGGGGGGGGGGGTGTCTTACCTGTGTCTTTCCTGTGGCCTAACTCTGGGCCAATCGGGTATAATACGACTACGGACGACGCGACCACAGTATTCACGTGCTTGCAACATACGCGAAACCAAAGCGTGAGCAGAATTTTGGTCTGTTTCGCGAGTGCGTGCTGACCGTTAATCAAGTCCATTCGTTTACGTGCAGTTGTCTAACAGAAGAGAAAGATGGCGTTAACCGGTAATTGCCATGCTACAGCCCTTTAACATGGTTTCTTCTCTTTGAAAGCTATCAGAGCTAGAGTCAGAGTTAGTTAATATACATATATCCTTACTGTCATTCTCTATCTCTCTCTCTCTCTCACATGTAGGGTAGAGTGATAGAGAGTATAAATGAGCTGCTATCAGAGCTAGTTAATATATATATCCTTTCTGTCATTCTCTCCCTCTCTCTCTCTCTCTCTCTCAAATGCAGGGTAGAGTGATAGAGAGTATAAATGAGCTGCTATCAGAGCTAGTTAATATATATATCCTTTCTGTCATTCTCTCCCTCTCTCTCTCTCTCTCTCTCAAATGCAGGGTAGAGTGATAGAGAGTATAAATGAGCTGCTATCAGAGCTAGTTAATATATATATCCTTTCTGTCATTCTCTCCCTCTCTCTCTCTCTCTCTCAAATGCAGGGTAGATCGATAGAGAGTATAAATGAGCTGTTATCAGAGCTAGAGGGCAGTGCAGAAGCCATTGCAAGCCAGTCATTAGAACACATCCACTCTAACGAGGTCATCATGACGCTAGGAAAGTCAAGAACATTGGAGGCATTTCTTCTTGTAAGTATGTTAAGCCTTGTTCAGATTATGAAGTGACAAAACTGCGGCAGTAATTTTATAATGACGTAAAGTGTATTATGTTTCACATTTCTGTATCTTATAACACAGAGCTAAGTGAATATGCGTAGGACCCTTGTTGGAAGCAGTCACCATTTTGTGTGGGTGCGTGTGTGTGGGGAGGGGTTACTGTGTCATATCTGAATGAGCCTTTACTAATGGGTACCTGGCAGGAATTAATTCCTTGAAACGCTGGAGCACTGTAATGGCAGTTAGGATAAAGTCGGGGTAATAATTAATGCGCCTCAGAATAGAATTTCTAGATAGATGGCGCTATAGAAATGCCTATAATTATTAATTATTAATGTATTGAACAACAACCGTGTCATCTCTGTGAACCCACGCTTCACTAATTGACTCCACTTTGCACGGGGGTTCCAAATGTATAGATGCTTCTTTTAAAATACAGTTGAATTATTTGTCGCAGTAATGGTGTAAATTTCACCTTTAAAGGTATTTAAGACCAACGTAATTCATGCATACGTGGCTTTATTCTGCATTCGTCGCATCAGCCCAAGCTTGGTACAAGGAAATTGTGACAGCACTTTTTAAAAACCCTGGTGCTTGGTTATCCTTGGAAGAAAATTATGAATAGGGTATCATTAACAAGAAAACAAATTACTCTTTAGTCTTAAAGATGAAATAGATCTCAATGTTACATTATGACTATTTGATCATGAGCTACCAAATTTGGAATCCTTTTTTTTAAATACACATTGACTCTGTATAACCCCTGATTTTTATTTTAGTATTGTTGTCTTCACATTTAATGGTATATCCAAATACTGTGCAGAACATCAATACCAAATGCTGTGCTGTTTCACAAAAGTTCATCTTTCTTTCCGCTGTTTGTTTCCATAGAATGCAGCCAGGAAAAGAAAATTTCATGTTATCGTCGCAGAGTGTTCACCTTTATATAAGGTAAGATACATTTTGGCAAAAATCCTGAATTTTCAATATTTTCTCAATATTTTTATTAAGGGGTTGATTTTTCTTTGACTTTTGATTTATTGACGGTGGCATGGTGAGGTGAAATTAGTGTATCACTGCAGAGATCACATTTTCCTCAAACCTGTGCATTTTTGCGGTGAATACCTGAGCAAGAATTTAACATCTGTCTGTTTTTCTCTCTCTTTGACTTCCTTTTGATTACTTTTTGTGTAAATTCGTCAGCCCATTTCACTCTGTTTCTTTCTGTTTTGTTATATTGTGTCTAACACTGATGGTCAGTTTATTTTAAAAAGAATATGTCAATTAAAATCAAATACTATAAACACATCAAATATGAAGACAAATTCTTCATTGTCCAACTTACAGGGGATAAGATGACATCTTTGATTTTAAAGAATAGAAGAGAATAGAACTGGAGATGTGATTTGACTTTCAATAATGGACACTATTTTTCTGCACAAATTCTTTTGCACTCGCATCAAAACCACTTTATGGGACTATGGACAGTAATATACTACATTTGGTATGTTTGCTTACACATGTGATGAAGATTTTCCCTTAATTTACCTTACAGGGACACGATTTAGCCACTACTCTAGCCAGGCATGACATCGAGACCACGGTCATCACCGACTCGGCTGTCTTTGCTATGATGTCACGTGTTAACAAGGTCATCATTGGAACGCATACGGTCATGGCAAATGGAGGGTAGGCTAACTGATTTTTATTTCTCTGCAGCTGGTACTCTTAATTTCTTTATTCCAATGGAATATATTGTATAACAATTTGTTTATAGAAACTAGTCTTGACCTTGTTTAGATATGGAGAGGCAAACCATGGCGTTTTTTTAATGACATAAAGTGTACTACACATTGAATCTATAACACGGAGCTCAGTGAATACGCACAGGACCTTAGTTGCCTGCAGTTGCCGTTGATGTACATGTTTTTAAAAAGCATTTGGGGGGGGGGGGGGGGGGGAGTTTACCATTACATATCTGAATGAGCCTTTATTTAATAAAATGTGTCACTTGAAAATTGATATAAGACAGTTGGTCAAAAGCTGTTTGCCACAGAAGCACTAATTGCCTAACATATATACCGTTTGAATTTGGCTATGAAATCTTAAACAGTTGTACTGTACAAGGTGAGCCTTTGCACTTGTTTGCACAGATCCCTTACTTTAGTGTATGCCCAGACATGTACAAGTGCGTATGTGCTAGTTAGTATTGTGAAGACTTTGTATGACAGCCATGAGGACAGTTGACCTTGTCTTGAAGTTATGAGGACGGTCAGTGGGCCTTCGTTGGTCAAAAATTAGCCACTGATAGAGCGTCCTAGCTGTACATGTAGATGGTGTGCTGCTGCGGCTGGTTGAGAACAACTTAAACCTTTCCTTATATATAGATGACAATATATGCAATACCATAGAACTAACAAACTAGTGTAAAGCATAGTATACTATTATTATCCTTAAACGAAACATTATAAATTCAGTAACCTCTACAGACTTTATTGACCACTAAAGACTGGTATTAAATAGATGATCAAAAGAAAGACAGTATGAAAAAGAAAATCTGTTATTGTATAAGGTATTCAAAGGGAATTGCTATGAATCAGAACAGACAATGTTATGTATATTTTCTTGTGATATGAATGCCAATTTTGTGATGTTTCCTTTCCTATTTTGTTGTCATTTCAGATTGAAGGCAATCGGTGGTACTCATGCATTAGCACTAGCAGCCAAGCATCACTCAGTACCTGTAAGTTTCTCTCTCCTTCTATCTCTCTCTCTCCTTCTCTCTTTCTGTCTCTATCTCTCTCTCTTTCTCCCTCTCTCTCTCTTTCTCTCTCTGCCTAGACACTTGAACATTCATGCATGTTTATGTATATGTGTCTGTTTGTCTCTGTCTCTCTTTATTCAGCTTATTATAATTAACTTATTTTTGTATCTATTGTTAATATCATTATTATCATCATTATTATTTTTTAGAAGAAGTAGTAGTAGTATCATCATCATTTAGAGACTTTAAGAAATAGTTTTCATTACATCTGATTGCATTGATGTGCAACATAAGTTACAATTAATGTGATTGTTTGATTATCAAATGCTTATTTTTAATTTCCTATTTTTGGCAGTTGATAGTATGCACACCAATGTTCAAGCTGTCACCTGAGTACCTTTGCAGTATTGATCAGGTAAGCAAGTACACTCACAATATTTCTTTCAATGCTACTCAAATAAAGATGCAAAAGGGAAGTGATTCACTAATATTTTGATGAATTTCCCCCCATAGTCTATAGATTATGATGTGACCCAGAACTCTGTAATCTTATGAATTTATATTTCTAATGTGGTTGTAGAATAAATGCCATGAGAAAATTAGTGTACAAATAATTTATGTTGGTGAGTGCATTAGTAAATATGCACTGCACGCAGGTCAAGTCGCAATCAGATAATGAATGAGACTTATCAAGTTCATTATCCAGCTCATTGTGACTTAACCGAGTGCAATTGCATATCACTAATGAACAAGCTTCAAAACAACAATTTTTGTCATTAGATTGCCTATATTGTAGTACCCATTCAGAGCTACCAACCATTCCGTTTTTGCCGAAATTACTCCGTTCTTTCCTCCAAATTTAATTATGGTAGTATATTTTTTCTTAATATTTTTTTTTTTTTTTGCATACCGCACGTCAAACAACCGCCCTAAATGTTGATTTGATCACAAATTCAATAGAAAACTAAGTTTAAAACATACTTGAAAAGATACTTGAAGAGAAACATATTTTCAAAAAGAATGAAATGCCGATAATACCAAAATCACACCAAAAAAATACCTGCTTGTATGGAAAAAACAGCATGAGGAATGGACATTTCTGCATTGGAAGTGTGTCGCGCATGGTTGTAAGTTTCGTTTTAATGAAATCCATTTTTTGCTTAAAATTCCTTTTTTTTTGCCATCATGGTTCCTTTTTTTGGTCACACAAGGTTGGCAGCTCTACCCATTCATAATTACAATAAATTAACTATTTTTAAGAGGGCATGGGTAAATGCAAAATTAGTATACAATGAAGGTTCTTTCTTCTGCATCATTGATTTTGGGCAAACATTTCAAGGAAACACAGAGAAAAGATATTTATTTTTGATAAATTGATTCACCTTTTTTTATGATGTAAATATTGGTGGAGACATCCTTGAAGTTTATGGGATTATCATGACAAAGGTACAGAGAAAAAGTTAAAGACCTACACATATAAATAGAATTTTTGTTATGATCTGCACCTTGGTATTCTTTTGTATTTTCTTTGATGAGAGCCTAGGGAAATATTTCCTTGTTTTGTTGTTGCCCTTTATTTCGGTTCCTATTTGTCGGTCTTTAATCCTTTGAAACCATGAACTTGTACGTGTATTTCTTTCTCTTTTTGATAGTATACCAAATATTGTCTATAATAATAATAATAGTGGGTTCTTGTATAGCGCTCATGTCAGTCAGATTTGACCCTCTTGGCGCTCCCGATTATTACCCTGGCTTTAGCACGGCTGCCATACGACGCTCTAGCATTTCAAGGAATAAATTCGTACCAGGTACCCATTTACTTCACCTGGGTGGAGTGTGGCAAATGTAGATCGATGTCTTGCCAAAGGACATTAGTGCGGTGGTGGGACTCGAACCGCGGACCTTGTGATCGACAGTCCGGTGACGTAACCTCTCGACCACAACACCTCTACATTGTATTTTTTTGTTTGCTTTGGCTGTTCTCCTTGGTTTTTATTTTCTATTCTTTGCCTCACTGTGTCTGTTTTGTAAGGACATCTCTCTGTTCACAAGCCGTAGTCTTTCTCTGTATTTTAATCTCTTTTTTGGGGTCTATTTTTAGGATGCTTTCAACAAATTTGAGTCACCTAAAGAGATTCTGGATTACTCTGATGGGGAGCTACTTTCCAAGGTCCATATCTATAACCCTGTCTTTGACTACGTACCTCCTGAGCTAGTTACCCTCTTCATATCAAACATGTAAGTATATTGGTAGAGACATCCTTGAAGTTTATGGGATTATCATGACAAAGGTACTGAGCAAAAGTTAAAGGTAATACAAAGTTTTAGTATGGGGTCGTGAATTTGGTTCAAATGAACATATTGGGAGCATATGCGATCCTACAATATTCACTGATCGTTGTCGCGGTCAAAATCGACTCTGAAGTTATGAAATTTTAAATAATAAATGCTTTATGTTGTATAGCTCCCTCTCAAGGTCAAGATATTAATTAAGCTATAAAACAATGTTTATTGTCTTAAATCGACCGATTAGCTATTCCCGTTCGGAAATTATATACCACAACTACATATTCTGAGATTTTCATGGTCACAGCTACCATTGTACGGCCGTAGGAGCTATTTGAAATTTATCAAAATTTACCGGGAGCACCGGTAAATCTTTATATTCAATTTTTCTCGAAAGCAGAAGTGTTTTAGGGGCTAAAGATTCTAGTGTTTTAAATACATCCACAGGGGCATCCAAATATATCAAAATCGTAAAGAATCACTATCCACCCATTTTTCGAAATTTCTCAAAACTTTGTAATACCTTTAATAATACCTACAAAATATAAACAATTTTTTTTTTTTTTTTAATGATCAATACCTTTGTATTCTTTTGTGGTTCCTGTACTGATAGCCTAGGAAAATACTTCCTTGTTTTCCTAAAATAAAAGGACAAGTTACTCCTCTTTTTCCTTTGTCTAAATGTAAATATATATATTTTACCTGGTAAGTTTTTATTTCTTTTGCAATTTAATTTGATATCGTGTTAACTTTCATAGAGGTCTCATTTACAAGCACAAGTTGCTTCTTAGAGGTCCTGGCTTATTATGTATTCTGTATTTATGATTTTTAATGATGCCAAATAAACTGAATTGAATTGAATGTCTTTCTCAGTAATTTTTCTGTCAATGCAGTGTATAAATCATACAATGTTATCGAATTGGGATTTTGTTCTTATATTTTTTTGATTACCTTGAACTGTTTGTTACCTCAGGGGGTTGTATGATTATGTCACATGTAGCCTTTCTATTTGTTGATAATTGAAACTCAATGTTAATTTGACCCTTTTATGTATCCATACTATTTCAAATTTAAATCATTTTCAAAAGTGAAATACTTTTAGAATCATATGAGTCTGATATGGTTTTATGATAAAAATTATAACATTTGTATAGTGCTTAACCCTTACTGTACTAGAGGGAGGCCTGGGAGGGCCCCCCCTTGACATTTTCTGAAATTGCACCGCAACCGCTTGGAATTTTGAATTGTTGTTTCATGACTTTTTTCCCCTCAAGTCTTACGCACATTTTGATACCATTTTCATCGAAATTTGATGTACCTCTAAGGTGTATGCGCATGTCATCAAAAAGTGCTATAATTGCATATATTCATGTACAAGCAGAAATGTGAATACAGGTTTAGATGTATTTCTTCCTAAGTGGGAGATATGAATTGATATCAAATTGCTTTTATATGTTTCTCAAAGTAACTTGATGTATTCCAGAACAAAAGAATACATTAGAAATAAAACAATAGATATAATGAGAAATAAAAAACAATAAAATACATAAGAAAATAAAATGATGAATTTCAACCTTTTTTTCTCAGAAATACATTTTGAGATGAAGGAAAAACATTTATTCAATATATTTTCAAGATTCTTCACAAGTCTACAGACAAATATGTAGAGTTTTCTGTTAAATGCATAAAATTAGCATTTTGCAAAATTAATTAGGCTATAACAACAAAAATTTGCATATTAGGAAAAAAACTAATTATACCATCTTGTTCATTACGTAAATATCTACAAACATGCACATTTTCATGTTCATCAAACATTTGATGGCCGAGATCATGGGGGAGGGGGCCTGAGAGGCCCCCCCCCCCCTCCCTCCCCCAGTCAGTGAGGTGCTCAAAATCGCCCAGTACAGTAAGGGTTAATACTACATTTCGAAGTGATGCTATTACCCAAGTCAATTGATTAAATAGCTCATCTACAGTGGTATATGTCAATCCAACCACTTTAACATGCACATTCTACTGGGTATCCATTTAGCACCTGGGTGGAGAGTGGCAAATGTAGATAAATGCCTTGCCAAGGTACACTAGCATAAACTTTCTACCAATCTTTGTTTTCTTTGATTGCAGTGGAGGTAATGCCCCATCGTACGTCTACAGACTTCTTAGCGAGTTATACCACCCAGATGATCAAGACCTTTGACCTTTGGAACATCAGAAAGTGAAGGAACACTCCTACTCTAGATAAGTCTAGAGTTTAAAAACTGTTAGGAGAATGTGGGTTGGTCTAGCGACACGTTCACTTGGTCAGCTCTCTGTCTTCGCCTACAAACCGGCTCAGACGGACCCCGGTTTGAAACTGAGTCACGTCTTTTGGATGGTGACGTTTAATGTCAGTCCCCAGACGTAAATATTAATATCTGATTGATACACGTCTGTAAGATCCCAATTACATACACGTCTGTAAGAACCCAATTACACACACGTCTGTAAGAACCCAATTACACACACACGATGTAATGTTTTTCTCTACCATCTCTGTGGGAGATTTCAGTTTGCATCTCGTGTCATCAACATCCTGAATGTACGATTCTTGTGTCATGCTTGCGGGAGAGCTGGGGGTGTTTCACAAAGATCCTAAGTTGAACTTACTCAAAATTTGGACTTCAAAATTATGGAGAGCCATTTGTAGCCTTGAAATGAAATATATTCAAAAGCAAAATTCAAATATTTTAGAATTTTTATAAATTTCACATCAAGAACATGAAATCTCCCTGATAATAGAAAATATGAATGATTTGAATCAACATTTTATGCCTTTTAAAATAATTTTTACAAAATATTTGTCATGGATGCTAACAGTTTTCCATAATTGTAGAGTCCAACTTAGAGATAAGTTCAACTTAAGATGCTACGTGCTTTAGGTTGAAGCATGAGTGGACTCTAGGAACAGGTGACATAGAAACAGAGCTGCACGATGCAATTGTACATACCAGTATCTCAGTTCTAATTGTGTTTCTACAATTCCCTTTTATATTTGCAATGTTGTTTGCAGGCTGATGAGAATCTGCTACCTTTGAAATGATATCAGGCATATATTATCATCATTTTGAGTTGATAATGATAATGATAATTATGTTGCCCAAGAAAGACTCGATCACCTTCAATGCTGTTTTTCCTAAAGGACCTGCAATTATAATTACACCAGCAATTTTCAGGAACCCATTACACCTGGAGAGAGATTGGCAGATGTGGATTAATGTCTTGTCAATGGACATGAGTGCTGGTTTGAGATTTGAACCCTCAACCCTTAGATTGAGAGTCAAGTGGATGAACCACCGTACCATGACCCCTCCACAGAAAGTCACAAGTTAAGTATCTAGCAAAAGTAAGAGCCACCTTGTTGTCCTCTGCCATGTATCCCGCAGCATGACACAGCTCGGTAGATGGTCCATGGTATGTAAGCCCTGGCCGCACTCACAGTCAGTTACAGTGCATCCCCACTGACTAGCATATATAATAATAATAATAATAATAATAATTTTGCTTATATAGTACTTAGTACGTACGTCAGGAATGTCAGAGTTTCTAAGGGCTTTACATTATTAGCCCGGTCATCGGTTTCTTGCTTGCCTGCACACAATGAATGCAATTTCTCCACTCCCTGGGGAGCATTCCAACTAGAGCTACATGTACTTGGTTCAAATTACTAAGCATACCACATTGGTTTTCGGATTCTACCGGGTACCCATTTAACACCTGGGTGGAGAGTGGCAAATGTAGATCAATATCTTGCCAAAGGACATTAGTGCCGCGGTGGGACGCGATATATTGAAATGAAAATGATTGTAATCTGTAGCAATTGATTTTTGTTCACCACTGGATGGTGGAACTTGCTCTATTGTAGGCCTGGCTGACCTTTGAGGAGGAAATTGAGAGAAAACAGGTGGAAAAAGATTGACATATAGAATGTCTTCTATGTGGTTACATTGTAAGAGGGGATTGTGTTGTATTCCTTTGTATTTATTTTCATTTTGTCTTTGTCTTAGACCTGGTCATGAAGTAGGTAAGATTTTATGAGGAGCCCCATTAGTCTTGAATCACTAATTGGAACGTTTGTTCTTTTGAAGCTTTCATAGATAAGGTTTCAATGTTGTCAGTGCTCCTCGAAAATGTGCATATTAACATGCAACTAAAAAATACCACATGTCAGATCTGTGACTGTGACCAGTATATGTACTGTCTTTAAAGTTTTGATGCTGAATTACAATGAATGCATTATTAAGTTCATTACTTTATTTAGGTGGTGTTAAATCAAATTATGTGTTAATAATTTACTTCTAGTTATTACATCTAAATATCATGTGGGCAGACAAGTTAAAGAGAATGGAAAAAAGGATAGAGAGAGAGAGAGAGAGAAAGGGGGGGGGGGGGGGTGTAGGAGTGAAATTCCAAAAGTATGTCCCATATTAATTTTATGTAAAGATTGTATCAGGTTAAAAGCCCTTGTATTGTAGTGTTGACATGTCCAATATCAAAAGGGATACAATAAATGGCATTTTTGTTTAATATTCCATTAAACTCTATTACACAGGAGGTATAATGACTATTTTAGACTTGATAGCAAGGGATAGGGTAATGGTCTTTGCGATGGTTGAAGCAATAAGAATTAACATATCACCCAAGATAAAAAAAAATAACGATTACAAAATTTACCTGTACAGCATAGTGCTATAACTAAAAAAAATGGGAATGTACATGTACTGTATGAACAGTGACTAATAATGAATAAAGATATTTATGAAAGTACATACTTGTCATGCACTTTTTACAATCTTTTTATTTTCATTTTCCCTATCCTGTGAATTTAATTGAATTGAATGGTAGAGTTGTTGCATAGGTGTGTTACAAGCATTTGAATGGGCAAGGATGGAACCTAAAGCCCCAGTCCCATATAAAGCCGGACCAGCACGGACGAGCACGGACCACTCCGGACCATCCCGGACCATGGTCTGGGGTGATCCGGGATGGTCCGGGATGTTTTGTTCAAAAAAGTGTGATGCTTTTAAGCTACAGTCCCATATACGTCCCGGACCGTCCTGGACCATCCCGGACTCCATCCGGGGTGATCCGGGATTCGGTCCGTGTTGACACCGTGTTGGCACCGGGGTGGTCCTGGATGGTCCTGGATGGTCCTGGGCGGTCAATAACTCACTCCCGGACTACCACGGATCAACACGGACCGCCCCGGCGCCACTACGGATGACCCCGGACCCAGCACGGTGGCTACACGGATCACCCCGGATCAAACTATTGACCCGGACCGTCCCGGACCACCCCGGCAGTTTTGACCGTCAAAAACATCCGGGGTCGACTCCCGGACCGCCCAGGACCATCCAGGACCATCCAGGACCATCCAGGACCATCCAGGACCACCCCGGTGCCAACACGGTGTCAACACGGACCGAATCCCGGATCACCCCGGATGGGGTCCGGGATGGTCCGGGACGGTCCGGGACGTATATGGGACTGTAGCTTAAGTTACAACGGCAAAGCATAGTTTTACAATATACAACAAATTGAATGTCCTTCAATTTCTTATCAGAAATTCATTAATTTAGATGTTCTCAAAAGTCATAAGCTTGAAAATGGCTTATAATAAGTGTGTGTGTGTGTGTGTGTGTGTGTGTGTGCGTGTGTGTGTGTGTGTAGGTTGGTAATTCCTGTTCCGACCCGCCCCCCCCCCCCCCTAAAAAAAAAAAAGAGGAAAAAACAGGATTGCATGAGACAATGAAGATCTCCAAAAAAAATGTAAAAACACAAAACGAGTTATTAAAAAAAAAAGGAACACACAAAGTGAGAGAGAGAGAGAGAGAGAGAGATGAAAGTAGATGAGGACATTATATGAAAGAGAATAACAAGTAGGAGATAGAATAAAGAAAATCACAGGTAGCGTGAGTGGTTGTATAGTGATTTACAAAGAGGAGATGATTGGCGGAGGGCATTTATAGACATCCTCAATTGTCTCATCAATTTATAGCAGAATCTAAATACCAAGGGGCTTATTATCCAAAGAAGAGCATTTGCAAATAATAGGATCATAATGAAAAGCAACTTTTGAAAGCTGTCCTCTGGGGGGTTCTTGATAGTACTTGAACCAATTAAATTTGATGCAATTCATTGTGTTATCAAATTGGACTTAGATGTCTGGTTAACAGCCACTTGACAATTCGGCCACCTGATAATTCGTCCCTCCGACAATCCCCCGCCCATATCCCCTACCGGATCCCCTATGAACAATACCCTTAGACACAAATCGTCTGCATCGCTGTGATTCACAGGAAAGGCATGTGAAACATTAACTTCAACAACCCAAGGACACTTTAATGATGAGCAGGTGAAATAGATCGATTGTCCCTTGACAGACTAAAAGCAGGACCCGGTCTTGATAAGTGAAACTCTCTAAGGTACCACATACCTGGGACGACCTAATTTCACATTACGCTAAATGTCATTTTTCTTTTATAGTTCAAACAACCCCGCCCTCCCTAAAGAGCCCCTTCCCCCATGTGACTAGCTAAGGAAAAGGGTTGGCTCATTCAAAGCTTATCACGGAAGGTCTAACAGCCTTAAACTATGACAATAGGGATGTTCGAGTTTTTAGACGAACAATTGAACAAGATACTTTTTAAATGACTGAGAGCATAAACATTTCATTTTTCACAAGGACGCAACGGATACAACCATGACTGTATAAAACAGAAGGGCGTTCACTCAAATAGTATCTCCCCATTGGCTGCCATTGACAAAGTCCTATACAGCCACATCCGAAACGAATCGAAAACAATTCAATAGAATAAGCCTAATGAAAAGAACTGCAGATCTGTACACTAGTGACTAGTCTAATTCATTTAATAATTTTAATGTAAAGTCGCAAAGGTGAAGGAAAAAAAAAAAGAGATCGATGGAGAAGAATTAAAATGAGCAATTCAAGAAAATGTGAAATGTGTTTGATTTTCAAGCTCAAAATCATTAGCCAGCTACTTTTTAACAGCGAATCGAGCGTCTTAATAAATTCCTCTTGTACTCTAGATAAAGGGTAGAACTTAAAAAGAAAATTTCTATAAAATCCTACATTGGCGTATCAAGACAATATGAAAGTCTGTATTATAATTCAACCAATCCCTCTGTACTAGGAATTTCAAAATTTAGATTATTCCCGTGCTTCAGTAATTATTAAAAATAATGCAATGTATCTAGGCTTTCACAGAACCTTGTAACAAAAACCTGTGGCTGTCATGATGTTTAGAACCCCCTACAAGGTGTACGTGAACATGTAGGTTGATATTCAAGTGGAATGGGGGAATCCCCGTTCTTTGTAATTGTGTGCGTAACAGAGAGATTATTGCTTTCAGCTCGAAATGTCTAGACTGGTTAATATGGTTAACCTTTGCTACGTTATAGCTACTGTGCACTTGATTATACATATTATGGGATAATCCATACATCTGACATCTGCAAACGAATATATCACTCACGGGGTAATTTTTTATATATCGAGTAACCATCCGGCACTTATACCAAATAGTTACGTGTTCTGGTTTAGTGGGTAAAGCTCTTGGCAGAAACCAATCTCAATCATTGTAATGACTACGACACATAATGTGATGGGCATACATGTAGGTAGGTGTGGAGGTACGTGGTGGTGGTGGTGGTGGTGGTGGTGGTGGTGGTGGTGGTGGTGGTGGTGGTGGTGGTGTTGGCGGTCCCCGAGGATCATCAAAGTTTAAATATTTCGGGAAACCACCACTATTCGGGTAGCGACAATTTCTATATCTTCTTAGTGTATTTTGATGACGAAAGAGCACGTTTACCAGAATAAACTGCCCCCCCCCTTCCCCTCACCCTATTTTGGGGGTTGTTCACTTTCATTGAGTTTAAAACTGGAAAGATTATGCAGGCAAGTATATATGTGCCCATATGCTGATTAGATGAGCGTCATGGAAATGGGTTCTGTATTATTTTTTTCTTTGTCGACAACTATACCCTTTAACTTACTCCCACCACCCTCAGAAAAATATAAAAAACGTGATAATCGTTGTATCTCCCGCTGCTTCTACTCCTCTGCTATATTTTACAGTGCTTTTACCAAAATATTTACCCAAGTTTGGTAGATCCTAATTAAAAATATATAATCAGGCGCGGATCCAGGATTTCTTAGGGGGGGGGGGGGGGCAAATTTGAAATTATGCAAGCCAAAATATTGGTACGTAATGATGACCAGCAGTGGCGTCATGAGCGAAAACTCTTTTTTCTTTTTTCTTTTTCTTTTTTTTTGGGGGGGGGCAGACAAAAAAAAAAATGCGTATCAACCCACTGTTTAATACATGCAGGCCCCTCATGCAGGTAAGTATTTACGATCAGGTAGAGTGTATGGGCATTTATTACGGTCAGATGAGCATATTTTGATAGCTTATTTGTGACAATGGCAGGACACTTATTGGTTTGAGGTCCAGGGGGCGGAGCCCCCTGAAGTTCAGGGACACTGGCAGGTCACTGATTGGTGTGGGGTCCAGTTCGCCGAGCCCCCTGAAACTCAGGGAGTTGAGGCATGTTATCACGGTCAGATAAACATTCAGGGGCCGTCTTATAGGGCTCCTGGTAGGGTCGAGGGGGCGGAGCCCCCTGAATCTCAGGGGTTTAAGGCATTTAATTACGATCAGATGAACATAATATTGATACCTTATTTGTGATACTGGCAGGACACTAACAGGGCGGATCTAGCTTTTTACCAAGTGGGGGGTTTGACCCAATGACGATGCGAGCATCGTCCATGAGCCGCGAAGCGTCTAGGCGATTTTTTGTTTTGTTGCTTTTCTGAACCCCCGTAAGTGATGCTTTCCTGGCATCTACTAATACTTAGTGGGTCTGGACATATGATGGCGTTTTTTCTATGCATATCACATTTTTACTTGGCAGCCCAAGGAGGGGGTTAGACCCCCTAACCCTATCCCCCTGTAGATCCGCTCCTGACTAATTGGCGTGAGTTGCGCCCCCAGAAGCTTAAGGGTTTTAGGCATTTAATCACAGTCAGATGGAGCATATTTTGATACCTCATTATTTTGTGCCACTGGCAGCTAGGTCACTATTTTTTTCTTTCTTTCTCTCCCCTTTCCCTTTCCCTTCTCTCTTTTTAAGGTTTGCTTGGGGGAGGCAAGGGCCTTTCGCCCCCCCCCCTGATCCACACGTTGTTGGCGGGATAAATCGCAACTGATCTCCTTCTTCTGTTCACCCCTTTCTTTTCTTCTTCCTCTTTTTAGTTCCCTTTTAGCTCTCCTCTTTCCCTTTCCCTTCCTTCTCTCTTTTGTTTGGCGTGGGGGGGGGGGGGGGGGAGGCAAAGGCCTTTACCCCCCCCCCCCACGATCCATAACTTGTTGGCGGGAAAATTGCAACTGCTATCCCCCTCTTTTCTTTTCTTCTTCCTCTTTTTTTCGTTCCCTTTATCTCCTCTTTTCCTTTTTATTTCCTTTTCCTTCCTTCTCTCTAATTTTTTGGATGGGGGGGGGGGGGCAGGGCCCTTTCGGCCCTCCCCCGATCTCCTTCTTTTTCCCCTTTTCTCTTCTTGTTTCTCCTCTTTCTTTCCCTTTCTCTCCTCTTTCCCTTGCCCATTTTTTTACTTTCTCTCTCTTTCTCTCTCTCTCTCTCTCTCTCTTCTCTCTCTCTCTCTCTCTCTCTCTTTTGCGGGGGGGGGGGGGGGGGGACAAGGCCCGCTCGTCCCTCCCCCCTTGATCCGCGCGTGTGTATAACCAATAGTATCCTTCATTATTTCATACAGTGAAACGTCTGTGCTCACAGACTAGGCCTATACTCATTCAAGTTGGGGAATTCCACTGATTGAACTGGAATATTGCAGTTCAGTGGGGAATCCCTGTTCTTTGTGATTGTTTGTTATTGCTTTCAGCTCGATACGTTTAGACTGGTTTGTTATTGATTATGCTAGACTTTTTAACGTTATTGCTAGTACGCACTTCAAACTGATCGTACTTAACTTGACCATCCATACATCTGACATCTGCAAACAGAAGTATCACTCGCGGGGTAAGTTTTGTATATTGAGTAACCATCCATATTAGTTTTATCTTGCACAAATTACGGCACATAATGTGATCGGCATAGGAAGGCGGGGAGGTACGTGGTGGTGGTGGTGGTGCATGGTGGTTGGGGTTGTGGTGGTGGTAGTGCATAGTGTTGGTGGTGGTAGTGGTGGCGGTGGTGGCGTTGTGTGTAGCACCCCAAAGATCGTCAAAGTTTAGATTTTCGAGAAATCACCACAATTCCGGTAGTGAAAATTTCTATATCTTTTAATGACCTCAAGTGCACGTCCACTCCAAAAAATAATTTGCTTTTAAAGATGCAGAAAAACAAGAGATACAGAGCAAAAAAGATTTGAGGAAAATCTGATAACTACTAAAGAAGTGATGATTTTTTTTTTTAAAACGTATGAAAAAGTATGGAACTATGGAAATCACTACACAAATTGCCAACTTGGTTCTCAGTTAGTGACGTTATTGCCTCACCATTTATCAATTTCTTTATATAGTTTATCCCATTAACTAGTTTCTCTTTTTATCCCCTAAATCTGGATTTCACGATGCCTTCGCCCAGGTATATTGTATATTCATAATTTTTGATTTTTATATAAATAGTTTATCAAAGTTCACATTATTCATGATTTAACCAAATAAAATTACTCTATACTAGTGCATACACACAAAAACTATTACTATCAATATAACTTGGATGCTGGTATGAAGAAATAAGATTCTAAGGGGGAAATGGGAAATTTGTAATATCAATATAAAGAAAACAATTAGTGGATTACGAGGCAATGACGCCACACATTCATGAGTGAGTTGCCAATTTGTCTTGTGATCTTCAAAGTTGTTCATGTCATAAAATAATTAACTTTCTTCAGTTATTAGTTATCCGATTTTGCTCAAACTGTTTTTGATTGGTTTGTCTGTTTTATCTGCTTCTTTTAAATAATTTATTTTTGGAGTGAACTTGCCATTTAAATATGGTGTATTTTGATGACGAAAGAACATCATACCAGTATAGACATAAATGATATACTTATAACATCTATAAATGGGAGCGAGCGTAGCAAGCGAGCTCCAGGGAAAATTAAAGAAAACGGGGCTCTAAGTCACCTTGAATTAGGGGTGCATGTTTTGGAGAAAGGAAAAGCTTGCACTTATCAAAAGGGAAAAGGACAGTTATTAGAAAAGAAAAGGTGCTCGTGCCAAAGTAAAAAGGGCAATTATCAGAGGTGAAAATGGCACTTCTTGCACCTGAAAAGGGACACTCAACAGGCACTTGTGAGAATGGAAATGTGGAATCTGTTGAAGGAAGAGGGCACCTATCAGATTTTAATAGTTTTATCAGATGTTAAAAGGGGCATTTTGATTAGGGGGAGGGGCTCATATAAACAAGAAAAGGGGCACTTATCCTAAGGAAATATGGTACTTATTAGAAAGGAAAAGGGGCACGTGTCAAAACAAAAGAGGCACTTATCAGAGGTGAAAAGTGGCATTTAAGAGAAAGGGAAGGAGGTTCTTATTAAGGAGGAAAAAGTACACTAATTAAAAAAGGAAAGGGGCACGAGTCAAAATAAAAAGAGCAAAAATATTAGAGGTGAAAAGGGGAATTTCTCGCACCTGGAAAGACGTACTCACCAGAAATTAAAGAAAAAGAGGAAAAGGACAGTTATTAGAAGAGAAAAGGGGCACTTGATCTATGTAGAAATGGGCTTTTGTGGAGTACCTGGAAAAGTGGGGGCACAGTGCCCCCCCCCCCCCCACAGGGAGTGCCGCCTCTGGCATAATGGGCAAGCGTGAGAGAAAAAAACCGGAAAATCATGTCATTTCAGCAACATTTGTGTATCACTGGTATCGAATTACAAATAAACCACGTTTGAATTTTGGGTGGACAACTGCCCACAAGCCCCCCCCCCCCCCCCGCCCATCAGTACGCCAGTGATGCTAGGCATATACAAAAAAAATGGACGTCATGATGTTTACCCATATACAGGTATTGCGTGTACGTCTAGGTAATAGCGTAGCAATTGCTCATGCTATGGTCTGAAATGTTCTCTATTCGTACGTGTACGTCTGAGCGACAGGCGCGCCCGCTTGCATATTAGGGACTTTTAAATTGGCACGTCGCCATAGTGGACTGCTACGTGCGACGTCCTTAAATTGAGGCACTGTGACTGCCAGTGCCTTGAAAGGACGTCACACGTAGCAGTCCACTATGTCGACGTGCAAATCTAAAAGTCCCTATGTGCAAGAGTATTGCGAAAGCTTTTTGTTAAGGTGAATTCCTGGGGTCACACAACTAGAATCTTATCTACGTCTATCTCTAAAATATGAAGAACATAGTCTTTGCCAAGCGCTGATCCACGGAGAGGGGGGGGGGGGGGGGGGGGAGGGGGCGACGGGCCCGCCCCCTTGCAAGAAAACAGGTTAAAAAAAATATGGTAACGTTAATTTTACCTTTTTAAAACAAAAAAAGTTCCCCCCCCCCCTGGCCAAAAAAGTCCCGCCCCCCCCCCCCACTGCTTATTCGCCGTATGGCTGATCGTGATTCGCCGCTGCGAGACAATTAAATGTATTTCCTCACACCATTGCGAAATAATTTAACTTATCATTTTGTTGTGTTTGTTTAGCAGTGTCATTTTTCCAGGGGCTCAAGCAAAAAACACGATTGCGCAAGATGAAATTTTCAACTATAACCTTGTAGGCCTAATTTACTTATCAAAAGTATAGGTTTAGCTTGATTTCAAGTTTTCCCTACTGCTTTTGCATTTATTAGTATTCTTATTAATAATTTTTTACCTATACGCTCTCTAATCATTTTTGAGTTACGACCAAGTTGAACCAATTTTCAATAGAAAAGTACCCGTCGTTATTTGATACAATACAACGTCTATGTCAACAGACTACTCAGTCAAGTGAAATGGGGAATCCCCTTAGTGTAATAATTGTGTGCGTATGTAGTTGGATAATTGCTTTCATCTCAAAATGTTAGACGAACTGTTTATTGTTATATATTATGTTAGAGTTTTTCAAGGTTATTGTTACTGTGCACTTGATTATTATGGGATCATCCATACATTTGACATCTGCAAACAAAGATATCTCTCACGGGGTAAGTTTTGTTATCGAGTAACATAATATTATCTTGCACAAAATAATATGACCGGCAGTTATATACATGGGTTTAATATACTGATGTGTTCTTGTTCTGTGTGAGATCAGCACTTGGCAGAATCTAATCTCACTCACAAGTCACTGCAATGACTGCGTCACATAATGTGATGTGCATAACTAGGTAGGCGGGAAGGTACGTGGTGGTGCATGGCGGATAGTGGTGGTGGTTGGGGTTGTGGTGTTAGTGGTGGTGTAGGTGGTGGCGGTGGTGGCGGTGGTGGCGGTATAGTGGTGGAGCGTTCTCGTTTTATGATACGGAGTTACGCAGCTATTTTGATTGTGGATTACTGAAACTTTCAGTTTGGAGTAGTATCACTTAATGACTTAAGTGTGTTTTGATGACGAAAGAACACTATACCAGTATAAACTGTTCACCCCTCCCCCCCCCCCACAGCATTGAGGGCAAAGGTTAAGGCAAAATGGCCCCCTCGCAAAAAAAAAAAAACAGGTTAAAAAAAGATGGTAACGTTGATTTTACCTTTTTAAAACCAAAAATGCCCCCCCCCCGGCCAAAAAAGAAAAGAAGAAAAAAAAAAGGTTTTTGTTTTGGCTCAAGGGGGGGGGGGGGGGTGATGTTAAAAGAGAGTGCTCACCCCCCCCCCCCCCCCCCCCGTTGAGCCAAAATAAAAGTCACAACTCCACCCCTTGCTTATTCGCCGGATGGCTGATCGTGATTCGCCGCTGCGAGACAAATAATTGTATTTCCTCACTCTCTATGATCATTGCGAAATAATTTAACTAGCACAGATGTGTTTGTTTAGCAGTTTCGTTTTTTCCAGGGGCTCAGGCAAATAAACCAATTGTGCAAGATGAAATGTTCAACTATATTATGCCTAATTTACTTTTCAAAAGTATGGGTTTAGCTTGATTTCAAGTCTTCTCTACTGATTTTGTATTTATTAGTATTCTTATTATTTTTTACCTATACGCTCTCTAATCATTTTTGAGTTACGACCAAGTTGAACCAATTTTCAATAGAAAAATACCCGTCGTTATTGGATACAATACAACGTCTATGTCAACAGACTACTCAGTCAAGTGAAATGGGGAATCCCCTTAGTGTAATAATTGGGTGCGTATGTAGATGGATTATTGCTTTTATCTCAAAATGTTAGACTAGCTGTTTATTATTATATATTATGTTAGACTTTCTCAAGGTTATTGTTACTGTGCACTTGATTATTATGGGATCATCCATACATTTGACATCTGCAAACAAAGATATCTCTCACGGGGTAAGTTTTGTTATCGAGTAACATAATATTATCTTGCACAAAGTAATATGACCGGCAGTTATATACAAGGGTTTATTATACTGATGCGTTCTTGTTTTGAGTGAGAACAGCACTTGGCAGAAACCAATGTCACTCACAAGTCACTGTAATGACTGCGGCACATAATGTGATGTGCATAACTAGGTAGGCGGGGAGGTACGTGGTGGTGCATGGCGGATAATGGTGGTGGTTGGGGTTGTGATGTTGGTGGTGTAGGTGGTGGTGGCGGTGGTAGTGGTGGAGCGTTCTCGTTTTATGATACGGGATTACGCAGCTATTTTGATTTTGGATTATTGAATTTTCATTTCGGAGTAGTAACACTTCCCTGATAATAATGGTTTATTTATTCAAAATATGTATCGCACTCCGGGGCTGAACGAATATATGTCACGAACTACACTATAAGATTTCTAAACGTTATCATTACTATAGAATATAGAGTCTATATCATGTTTTATTTACGTATTTAATTACATCTAAATTCATCATTCTCATGTTTATTCATCTATCAGTTTCTATCATACCTTTTTCTCCACCTCCTAATACAGTGCGTATTTCTTCTATACTACTATATTACTGGTACTAGTTTTAAAGGGACTTTATAACATTGTTCAGATGAGAGGAAATGGTGCTAAGGTAGTAACTTTAATGCAAGATGTACAAATAAAGATAATCTGAAAATTTGAGTGAAAACGGAACATTATTAACGATACAAATTGGGGAAAACTGATCTGATCGATTCCTTAATTTGTCCAACTATATTATTACAATTTAATTACATTTTAGGTGACTTTAAATCTTCACAAAGCAATGAATTGGCTCTAAATACCATTCCAGACATTTACGTGTTGACAGATTTTTAGAAACCTGTCCTATGTCTTATTTTCATGGAAAAACGGTTGAGAAAATTCAAAAATGGGAGAATTTACTGTTAATCACTCTTAGAGTGTGTCGCACAGTGACACCTTCAAAGAAAACCGTAAATATCTTTGTGGTTTGAGAATTTACGTCTCTCGTTCCTAGACCATTTTAGTCACGCCTACATGTATATATATATATATATATATATATATATATATATATAAGGAATTTTCTTGAAGGAGTTTCGGATTTTCAAAGTTCATAATCACTTCAACCCTTTCTAGTTGTTTTACAGGTGCTTGTCTCCTAAGATGGGTAACTCTTATATATTGATCATCGTCTCTGTCTTGGCCAGTGTTTCTAGCTCGCATGGATCACAAGGTAATCTGCCAAACTCTTACTGAAAACTGTAAATTATTTTTGAGTTCGAGTGTGTCAACAGCAACGAAAAAAGAAAATTAAAAATGTTCATCAATTTAGGGTGAACGTGCAAATGGTTTTTATTACATCACGAACGTTAATGCTACAGAATATTCCATAGTATTACGATCTATTTAAAAAAGACTGAATAAGCGTTAGATCTGTGCACAATCATGGCTTACCAGTTCCTGTTCTGGGATTTATTAGTTTCTGCCTTTGCTTGTTAAGTACCAGTTCTATCTTCTTCTTTTTTTATTGCTTATCACTTTCAAACATCTGGTAATGAAAGGGTCTAGTAAAATTACAATAACAGAATAAATTACGTGTTTGCTAATTCAACGCATATAATTGTCATGAACCCTACATTATGCAGAATCGCTGTGTTTTTTGTTTATTATTACGCTTTTGTAACTATTTAGAAAAAAGAAGGGTGTTTCCCTCTTTAACTGAAATATTCATGAAGAAAATAGTCCTATATTCTAAATTTGTGTTGAACGTAAACTCCAGTCTAAGTTACACCAGAGTTTAGTATTTGGGCCAATGGGTTTATTCCAGTAACGGGTGTAACCATTAACAGGGATCTGATACTGCTGGAAACATGTTTAATAATGATTTATCTTATGATTTTAGATTAGATTACTCAGAAGAAAGGTTCCATGTACCATTGTTAACCCCGACTATTCTATGTTATAATATACTGTTATGTCATGGTCGCTCTTCTGTCCAACGGGTCATGTGCATATTCTTGTTCATTTAGATCAAGTAATAACGACGTCATTTGGGAAAAATGCAACTCTCCAATGTCCGATTGCCAACCAGGGCTCTGGTTTGCGGTCTCTTTACTGGAAGAAAGATGGGACAGCAATCTATTCCCTAACGAGCGATGGGGTGCATACTAGTGGGAAGTACTCGGTCACTGACACAACGTCTCTCGTCATACCTGATGTCACGGAGAGCGATGCTGGCAACTATTCCTGTATAGTGGCTTTTCGGAAGCCATATGGAACTATAACAAGTGATATCATGCAGCTATACGTGATAGGTATGAAGACATTACAAATAATACAAAAAGGATAAATATAACGTAGGCTAGCTACTATCACATTCAATTAAGTCCCTTTCAGATATTGGCGTTTTGGTATGTAGTCCTAATGGTGATCAATTCTCAGGCGCTCACGTAAAAAGCAACAAGGACTTCGGATCATGGTTCGACAGCTTCCTGAAAAGACCAGTATACGTCAACACCATGTCCTTTCCAACATTATACCCCATGCAGGCCCGGATCCACGTAGCGATTTCTCATGCCCGCCCCCCCCCCAAGCCCCCCCCCCCCCAAAAAAAAAAAAACGGTAAAAAAAAATAGGATAATAAGGTAAATTGAACCTTTTTGTAAACAAAAAACAAAAAACGCCCCCGACCCCCCCCCCAAAAAAATACCCCCCCCCCCTTAAAAAAAAAATAGTTGTTCTCCATCACCCCCCCCCCCCCCCCCCCCCCTTATTCACTGATCGGCTGAGTCGGCGCTAAATTCTTCCTCAAAGACTGGACCAAAAAAATAAATAAATAAAAAGTGCTCTTACCCACCCCCCCCCCCCCGCTTATTCACCGACCGGCTGAGTCGGCGCTAATTATTTACTCAAAAACTGGACCCCCCAAAAAAATATATATATATATTTGTGCCCCATGCACACGGTGTGTCATTTGGTTCTAGGACAATTACCAATCGCTAATCAAGTCTGTGAAGATGATTGAAGCATACGATGAATTCAACTCAATATTACATGCACCGTTCATTTTCCAGTCATTGATTGCACCATGTTACGCCCGTTTCTCCTCCTCCTCCTCCTCCTCCTCTTCCTCCTCCTCCTCCACTCCTCCTCCTCCTCCTCCTCCTCTTCCTCCTCCTTCTCCTCCTCCTCCTCCTCCTCCTCCTTCTCCTCCTCATCCTTCTTCGTTTTCTTCTCTTTCTTCTTTTAATCTATTTAGAGGTATCTGTGAGCCACTGCAAAGACACTGGGCAGGAGGTGAATGGTTGTAGCTGTTACATCAATGGTTCAAACATTACATCTTTGGAGTGTTCCGCATCAGGTTTTCCCCATCCTCCAGTTATCAAATGGGAGGAGGAGGATCGAATCGTCTACCTATCCTCATCTGTTGACTTGACAAGGATTAGAGAAAACACCACTCTCACCTGCAAAGCACGGGATGTGAATCTGAAGGGTGCCGTGGAAGATAAAACCGTGTGCGTCTACTTTGCGCGTGGTATGTTGTGATTATTGTATTACTCTGTCGTATATATAGATGCATGCAAATGTACAAACCTAATTGTATGTTTAAGCACTTTTACTTTAAAAGAATACCTTTTGTATCTAATTGCACATTTACAATGTAATGTTATTTTATACTGCTCTTCAACAGTTTATACATTTCGTAGCAAAGGCACAACATGTATGCATTTACCGTCTTCTTCTCCATGTAAACAATGCAGTTTCCTTCTACGTTGTAATTCTCCCTCCCCCCCCCTCTCTCTCTCTCTCTCTCTCTCTCTCGCTTTTCTCCTCTCTCTGTTTCTCTCTCTCTCTCTCTCTCTCTCTCTCTCTCTATCTATCTATCTTTGCCACTCTCTCTTTGTGTTTCTTTTTCTTCCCTGCGTGAAAAGCGAATATAGAGCTAGGATAAATATTTTCTTGCTGTTATTTTTACACGTAGTTATCATTAATACATTAGACCATACGATCATCAACAAATGCTACAATTATTAACTATTAACGATCATGACGATGACTGATATTATTCAAAGGGCAAACAAAACTTCCTAACCAGCGGTGGAATCCGATTTTTCCAACAGGAAGGGGCGAGGGGGGGGGGGGGGCAAAGCCCTTGTGTGCGCGAAGCGCTATCCCTTCTGGGTGGGGCCCCACCTGGAATTGCCATTGCTTACAGTTTCTTTAGACTGGTTTATGGTGATTTATTTCATTCAGAAGACCTTACTTACAACAAAATGAGTATTGCGTATGAATATTGTCTACTTTCAGAAGTGACGTCGACTGGTGGATCCCCAGTAGAAACAACTACTGCATCTGTAAATGTCCGAGCATATATTGCAGCTATAGTAGTATTATTCATCGCCCTGATCCTCTTGCTCTTAGAACGGTATATACGCAAAAAGGGTTAGTATTAACTTTAAAGATAGTATTTCACACATTTTGATGAGCAAGAATGTAAATGTTTGCTTTTTAAAAATCTTTAAACCTGTATCAGTTATCTGATATGTTGCCCTAATATGCGCTTATATTTCATTTTGAACGTTCCTTTCCCCTGTGAAAAAATAATTCAACGTGGAACGAGGTGACTACATGTACGTATAAAATGTAGTGTATACAATACCAGTGATCATTGATCATATTGATCTGATGATGAGCATTAAAGAATAAGTTTGATCTTACTGTTCAAATTATACTAAGGACAGATTATAATTTTCTGGTAATTATTATATTTTGGTATCATACCAAATAACAGAACATGAAACAAACAGTTACATGACCAACATTGTAACATATTTCGTAACCAACACTCCTTTTTCCCCTTTGTTTTGTTCCTGTTTCCTATAGGGAAAGCCTTTCAATGGTATAAGAAAAGAAACAGTGTAAGTGTATTATATTATCTAATTTACATAGTTTCTATATCAATATTTTGCATTTACATAATGAACAAACAATGGATTTGTTAACACTTTTCTGAAGCCTTGTGAGTCATTATGATTTGTCATTTACTTTTGTATGCAATTTTAATGGCGCAATGAAATGTGGAATTATACTCAGATTTTTTTTAAAACATATGCAATTCAGCCTTTAGGCTGCAAAGCGTTGTAAATTAAAACCACCGTTTAATTGAATTGCAATAATTACAGCCGAAAACACTTGCAGAACCAGACGAACCGCCTCTACATGGGAAGGACATCGATGTTTATGTTGCAGGATGTGTCGAACAAGTTTTGGAGGATACTAGTAACTGGAAAAATGTAAATAGAACATTACATCATTCATACATTCGTTCATTCAATTATCTAATGAATGGGGGTAAATCTGATGGCATTTCATAGTCATTTGAGTACTTTTATTTCTGACATGGTTGTGAAAATACTGCTTTACAATATTGAAACGTTAATATCGCCATGGCATTAGTCAATCAGATAATAATTAGTTTATTGTGAATATTTACATCTCTCCAAGCATGCCGAGGGGAAACGGACAACGATTTAAAAAAATACTCCAAGACATGTATTCCTTGACTATTGCCCAAGTGGACCGGAAACTACCTACATAAAACTGCCCCTTGGCCGAAAATAACGCCTACAAATTATACTCCAAAGCGACAGCTACTACTACTACTACTACTACAGTTTTTTGTATGCCTTACCATTTACAACGTAATCGTCCAAAGCGCTTACATAACGGTCACTGGATTCAATTACGAATATACACATTACAGTGTACATTCTCCACTCCATTCCAGTCAGTCACTCGTTTAAAAGCACACCCTGACTAATCCAAGTAAAGTGACATTCACCTGGTATCCAACACCTGGGTGGATAGAAACAATGTAGAGAAAATGCCTCGCTCAAGGTCAACAATCTCCTTATAGGACAACTACCCATAATTGGGCAGTTTGGAGTTTCAGTCTAAGATGTCATTTGTATTCATTGTAAGGGGCGTTGGGAAAAAACAAACAATTTTTTTTTTACCAAATACGAACTCCGTATTTCTAGTTGGCATCCCTTTTGACATTCTTGTGCTTTTGATAAACATCTAAATAACCTCTTACACACTAGCTGTTGGCCATGAAGTTGGAACGAATTTTCTAACCTTAAGGTTGTGACAATATGATTTATTTTTGATGGATAAAGTTTATATATTCTCAGAACTTTATCGATAAGTCTAAATGTTCATAAAGGTTGATCAATGAGGTTCTGTGGAGATACAAACTCTATCTATCAAGATTAATTCATATTATCACAATCATTTCATGAACAAAAATATACCAATATCATGGGCAGCACTCCGCAGCAGTGTACTATAATTATATATAATTAATCTTTGTCAGTCCAAAGAAAGCAGCGTAGAAGATCTACCCACATCGCAACCAGAGAGCACATCCATCGTGGGTGGAACTGGTGATGTTGACTTTCCCCCAGAGGACTACAATCAAAACGTGGTAAGTTTTTCCAAAATTTATCAACGATTTTTTTTTTTGTGTGTGTGTGTGTGTGTCTTCCAGTTTATTAGTTTGTGTGTTTTTCCCTAAAAAGAGTTCCGTGGAAAAGGAATAGAGTTCAACAAGTATTTCAAAACAGCAATGATATTTGATAGTTTGGAAAAAGTCATGACATTTTTCTTAACTTGAGTTCGAATAAAATCCAATTAAGTGTTACGAGAATTTTCTTGATTTTCTTAACAGAAACGGACCTTTTACTCATCATTAAGTTTTATGTAGTTAATAAAATCACAATTTCATGAGGTCCTGCTGGAAGAGTCTGTAGTAGCAGTCACTCTCTTTCAGTTGTATCAGAACCCGGAAAGTATATGTGCTTGCCACACCACCAAACAGCAGTCGTCATTGTATCATTAGAAATTTAAATCTAGCCTTGTTTCCTCCTCCCAAGAAAATATTCTGAACACTTTGGCACTTATCAATCGCATGAACACTACATAACATTACCTTGTTATCACCTAACAAAAATAAAAGTGTTATGTTATTCGCACTGGCAGAATTGTGCCACATGGGACAAGCGAGTATCATATCCATCTTTTTCACGTGAAAGTACAGTTATTACTTGTTTTAGTCTTGGTTTTTTTTCCGGGTTTGTTTCTAGGTGGTGGGCGGTGAGCAACAGTTTTCGTTGGTAGGACTGGTGCTTCTTGATGATCTAAGCTCCGCGCCAGAAGAAACGAAGGAATCCATTAAGGCTGCCTCCGTAGCTTTGGTAGTCGACCCTTACAAGATTACACATGTGGATCCCAATGTTGCTATCCATTCTTTGTTGATAAACATGGTCAGTTGATTAAGTTTTTATCAATAGGTTGTTCATTTGACAAAATGCTTCTACCATATAATCGTTTTATAAAAAGATGAGCCAGAAGGGATTCGTATTCTTCATAGTCAAAAGAGATTTAATAAACATTGATAATAATAAATCTTTCCGTTGAATCCGTTCTATATAGCATATAAAATCACATTATCGTGATACAACGTCTCTATATTCTTCCGAAGCACGTTGGATACCATTACCGTAAAAGCTTTAGCTCAGGCTCCAGTAGCGCTCATTGCATTCAAGGAATAAATCCTACTAGGTACCCACTTACAACACCTGGGTCGAATGTGGTAAACGTAGATTATGTATTACCAGAGGATGCTAGTGCTGTGGCAGAGATTTGAATTCCATACCTTGAGGTTCACAGTCTGGAAACTTATCTACTAGACCACAAAATCTCCACATCTACCATCATGTGAATGTCTTTAGGGGAGACTGGAGTTAGCACTATTTGTACGATTCACACAGTAAATGCATCATTTCCCCCTTATTTCCTTTAGAATGAGACTTTGCAGAGGAGCGTGAATACTGGAGACTTAGACAATCATGATGCTGAATTCGATCGTGATAGGATTCTTGATGAAAGAGACAGAGACGAGTTTGAGGTGTCTATCCCTGAGCCTGAGTCCCAAGAAGTGACAGATGAATCTCAAATACTAGACTATCAAGGAAATAGAGTCATCCAGCCGGTGAGGATATTTTCATCATGTTCGTATTGGTATCAAAGCAGTAACAAGTAGCGTAACAAGTAAACCATACACCTAGACTCTTTATCAGCAAGTTCGAGGTAGGTCCCATACATAAAGTATTACATCGAATTATGGAATTGTAAACTTTTTGCCTGCTTCAAGCTCTATATTAGGGCTATTACCTCGATGCAGTCATCAGATACTGAAATCCTAAATGTAGACATGTGGTTGGTTACATAGGACAAAATATATTGGACTTGTCCTTGTATAAACACAATTATTGATATGTTTGCAGTGGTAACTAATTTGACCAAGTATTATTGCTTGATCGTTGATTTGTAGTCAATTGAAAAAAGAAATTGTTCTTGTTTTATTCTCTTTTACTAGCAAACCTTTGTTATCATCTTCCCAATCACGATATGAAATGGAATATATCCTCTTTAACATTCATTTTATAATTACAATATTTCTTTGCTCAGTCTATTCCCATGTCAGCAATGAGCAACAGTGTGGTGCCATTCAACCCACGGCCTTATTCCTTACGCGGGGAACTACAGTCATCCGAGAGAGCTGCGACGAGCAACGTCATTTCTCGAATTACGGATGGTGTAGTGACAGGGAACTCCGGCCTAAGGGACAACGGTTGTTTGAAATGCAGTACCGGTATGTTGCTGGTAAGTAGAGATGAAATTTTTAAATGTAACATACTTTATTAAATAGCATCTGTGATAATAGTTTATTATCATATTACTCGGAGATAAGCTTCATTTTATTTATCGTACATCGCTAAGGGCAAGGAATACAGAGGCCTCAGTAAAAAAGGGAAAGGGGTGGAGGTGTGACTCCCCATGCCCCTTGCATAGTGATTGTTGATGTCAATTGATAAAATGTTGTGTTGTTGTTTAATTCTCTTTTGCTAGCAAACATTTGTTACCACCTTCCCAATCACGATATCAAATCGAATATACGCTCTTTAACTTACAATATTTCTTTGCTCAGTCTGTTCCCATGCAATCGAACACGACGCCACCAATGGCTAGCAGCAGTGTGGTGGCATGCAACCCACTGTCTTCTGGCTTACTTTGGGGACTGCAGTCATCCGAGAGAGCTGCGATGTGCAACACTATTTCGCCAATCTTTCTTGGTTTTGATCTAGAGAGAGGGTACTCCGGCCTAAGGGGCAACATTTGTTTAAATTGCAGTACCGTCACGTTGACGGTAAGTAGAGATGAAATCTATAAATGTAATATCCTTCAGTATCTGTGAGAATAGTTTGTTATGATATTACTCGGATATAAGCTTCATATTATTCGTCGTACATCGCCTAGGGCAAGGAATACAGGGGCTTCGGTAAAAGGGTAGGGGGTGTATAACTCTCCATGCCCCTTGGATAGTGAATTAAAGATAGTTACGGATACACAGAAATAATTGAATATTTCAAAGTGAAATCGATTTATGGAAATAATCATGATTTTTCAGTCATAAATTTGATTATCACGGTATTAGGGAATAATTTCAAACCGTAAATTTCAGCAATTCACTGGTCACTGAGGTCACTTGGCGAAATCCATATAAAAAAATTGTGACTGGTGTTATGTTTAGGATAAAACTTTATGATTCGGTATTCTGGAGGTTTTCTTAATTAAATATACTAAGTTTACTCTTTGATTTAAAAAATATGGGGGTAACTTCATTAAATTGTTTTGTTTTAAATACGTTGAACTACGGTTCCGTGTGAAAGTCATAAAGTAAGTTAGTAAATATATTCTCTTTAACTTTCAGACACAAAGCACATTTTGGATTTAATTTTACTAAATTGAATCACATTACAGATTTTTTTCTTATTTTCTAAATTCTCACTATTAATTGTGAAATGTTTGTTTCCAAACTTTGTTCAAGGGTGCCTAATCTCGCTCCTTTTCATATATCGTTCCATATTTGATTTCATTTTTTCATATAACCAAATGTTTAAATATCCATTCCTCTTCCATTTGAGCAATTTCTACTTTGCTATAAGAAAACCGTCTTGAGAAGAAGGCGTTGATATTTTATGGTACCCTTGAATCCCTGCAAAATTATTTGCAAAATAAGACGTAGATGGCGTTAACCATTATTTGGCATGATACATTCCCTTTAACATTACATTTTAAAGGGTAAGTCCGCACCAAAATTAACTTAATTTCATTAGAAGCTGACAAAATTAGACAAACCAATCAAAAAAAGATTGAGCAGAATCGGATATTTAATAAGAAAGTTATGAATTCTTAATGACATGAAAAAACTTGGAAAATCACAAGACAAATTGGCAACTCACTCATGAGTCTGTGACGTCATTGCCTCACTATCCACTTACAGTTTTCTTTATATTGATAATATAAATTTCCAATTTTATGAATATACAATATTCAGAAAATAGTATCGATTCTTCAAATTTCATAAAAGGTTTTGTGAAATGTCATGTACGCAAAATGATGCAAATCATATAACCTGGGCAAGGCATGGGGAAATCAAGTTTTTGTGGGATACCAATGGAAATTAATGGGATAAAAATGTATAAAGCAATAGTCAAATAGTGAGGCAATGACGTCACAAACTGATAACCAAATTGGCAATTTTTGTAGTGTTCTCTATTGTTCCATACTTTGTTTTAAATTCATAACTGCCTTATTAGTTATTCGAGTTTACTCAAATCTGTTTTGCTCTGTTCCTCTTGTTTTTCTGCATCTATTAAAAGCAAATTGATTTTGGAGTGGACTTGGACTTTAAATGCTATTTTAACTTTATAATGGCTGCTTTTGTTTTTTTCACAGAGTACAGTTTCAGTTCCAGTGGAACAAACTTGGCAAGAAGAGGACGAGACTCAAAACCCTCCCTCGACAGCAAAGCTTCTCGAAGACAGATACAGAGATAGCGAAGAGTCTGATAATGAACATCATGATTACATGATAACATGATTACAGTCACGATAACGTGATTACAGTCATGACTACAGAACGATTTCATGTAATAAAGGGCGTGTAAACTGACGAGACTACTGTCTTTCCCATGTCCTGACTCGGGGGGCCAATCGGGTATAGTACGACTACACCGCAGCAATCACGTGCGTGCAATTAACATACGCGAAACCGAAGCGTGAGGAAAACTACGGTCTGTCTCGCGAACGCTGATCATGTAGAGATTAATTAGTTGCTGACTAATCAAGTCCTTTCGTTTATGTGCAGCTGTCCAAAAGAAGACGTAGATGGCGTTAAACAGTTTTTGCCAAGCTACACGGCCTTTAAACTATCAAACGGGAAGTCCATCCAAAATCTTGGTAAATTCTGTAATGGCAAAAACAATCGAGAAACAGATCGTGGAAAGTTTGAGCAAAACCTGATAAAACAAGGAAGTTATTTTTATCATGTGTAGTAAGTTCTTAATTTGTGAAGTTGCAATCGATCATACACACAATAAACAACGATCTGACACATTTTCCGAGTTCCCCTCCTTTTGCTCTTGACTTTTAAAAAATCTAATCGTGCATGCACACATTTTTTGTACACAACCCCTGGATGAAAAAAAGATCTCTTCATCACCACTAAGAAAATTTCTCGGAAAAAAGATATGTTCGACGATGTAGTAGTGGGGTAAGTAGATGCAAAGATATTGACATTTAATTGAATCTCATTTTCAAACATGTATGATTAATATTGGATGTCTAACTTTTTACAATCTTACTTGATTGTGCTCCACATCAGAGGAGATGGTTTGACAGAAGGGTACATTGATAAATTAATAAAGAGAGCCGTTCCTTTAATTCAGAAAAAAGGGCTACTGATGAAAACAAGTAAGTATTGCTAAATTGTTGATTTGTGAGAGTTTGATTTTCTGTATATTTAATATTTTGTTATACTTGCATATGTTGTACAGAAATCTGTATGATGATATTTGCTTCTGCTGACCATCTTAGATCATAAAGTGTCAAGTGCTTGAATTGCCATGGCATTGTTAGGAGAAAAAAAACTGTCTGGAATCTGCTGCATGGGAAAGGTTAAAAAGTTCATGATATAGTACATAAGAATTAGCTGTGTGTTTTAAGAGAATAGGCATAATCAAAAGATAAACTTGATTTCTGGTTTAAAAAAAATGAATTCTCACAGAATCAAACGATACTTACACTGAATGTTCAAGATTACAAATAAATGTCATGTGCCAAGCAATTTTGGAAGAAAATGTATACTGGCTGAGTAATGAGTATAGAAAGATAAGAAAACCAGGTAGTACTAGCCCCGACACCATTTGTGTAGTTCCATATACATCTTTCTGTGTACAGTGCTTGTTACTTTACCAAGACTGGGTCAAATTTATTATGATTTTGATGAGTCCAGAACGTTGCAGTACACACCAATACATACAGGATCAACTTTTTTTATGATCCATTCCACACCTTTTCTTTCACAATGCAATCGCATGACCAGAACTCAACTTTATCTTTAATAAAGAGAGCCGTTCCTTTAATTCGGAAAAAAGGCTATTGATGAATACAAGTAAGTATTGTTAAGGTGATAACTGTTGATTTTTAAGGAGTTTGATTTTCTGTTTATTTGATATTTTTGTTATATTTGCATATGTTGTACAGAAATCTGTATTATAATATTTGCTTCTGCTGACCATCTTAGATCATAAAATGTCAATTACTTGAAATGCAATGGCATTGTGACAAAAACAGTCTGGAATCTACTGCATGGGAAAGGTTAAAAGTTTCATGATGTATTACAAGAGAATTTTGCTGCGTACTGTAAAATTTCTGGGAATTGGCAAAACAAAAAGATGTTGACCCAGCCTTGTTGAAAATCCCATGCACCGCACACAGAAATGTGTGTATGGGACCAATCACACATGACAAGAAATTAGTTCGGTCCAAACTCAACTATTTCTCGTCATGTCCTGAATATGAGAGCATTCGAAGAGCAATGTTTTCAAATTTCGTACTGTGATATATGTAGAATGAAAAACACTCGCTAATTATTATTCCACATCTATCAGAGCGCAATTTTTGTTTCTCAACAGAATTCTGTAGGAATGAATAGGAGAAATTGTTAGTGAAAAATATAACATCACTAGGAATGTTGTTATTTTAAATAGGCTGAGGTCACAACTGATGTACAGAAAAGCTCCTGTTGACATTGCTGTAATGTTCGTGTTGTCATACATGTAGAACTATATAACTATTTGTTTAACTGCTAGAGTGTAAAATAAACATTGTCTATGTCATTGATATAATAAAAACCTAACATTCTGTACAATATGTTGTATGGATTATAATGCTTATCTTGGGAATAAGCTAGAGTGGGTGGGTTATTAGTATCATTTGCATGTATATACATATATTCTATTTTATTTGATTTGATTTTAAATAAAATTAAAATAACTTATATAAATCATACAGTATTACAATTATATATAATAGACAAATTATTCTTTAAATGTGTTAATGAATATGAATTGATCCTTATTTAATTGTGTTAACATAGATTAATTTATCCTCATTTAACTGATAAATTTATCCTCGTTGGTTGGTGTTGGAAACGATGTTAAATGAATATGAATTTATCCTTATTTAACTGTGTTAACGAAGATTAATTTACCCTTATTTAGCTGTTAACATGAAGATAAATTTACCCTTATTTAACTGGATTAATGAAGATGAATTTATCCTTATTTAATTGTGTTAACAGAGATTAATTTATCCTCATTTAACTGATAAATTTATCCTCATTTAACTGATAAATTTATCCTTGTTGGTTGGTGTTGGAAAAGATGATTTTATCCTTTTTCAGTTGTGTTAAAGAAGGTGAATTTATCTTCGTAATAATAATAGATTTGTATATACGAATATATTTATATTATCGGAAGCTCTTGTAGCGCAGTAGAATATGTACTTAATGTTGGATAGTTTTTGCGCTCTATAAATGTATGATTATTATTTTTATTATTATTGTTATTATTATCATTATTTGTATTCATTTGTACATAAGAAATAGTAGATTTTCATATCTTGTTTTCATTTGTTTCAATTATTTGTCTAGAGTGACTGACATTCCTTTATGTTCAAATGATAATTGAGAGAAGAGACTGGAGAGCGTGTTTAGAACAGAGAGAAAGTGTGCGGAGATGTGGAAGAAAAATCAAGGAATCAGTTTGATTAAACTTGAGGAGAAGTGAAAAAGTTTTGTTCA